CAGCTCCAATGTCCTCGCCCCTGTAGTCCACACCGCAGAGGATCTGGAATGAGCTCTTGGTTGCTTTGTACGTGGTGCCGTCAGCAGCGTTGCCAACACATGTGACCTGCGACGTCGGCTTCTTCTTGTCAACCTTTTTTGCAGTCCAGATGGCTTCAAAGGGGTTGGGTATGGTGAGTCGGTCTTTGGTCCAGCAAGTTTTCCCACTATGGCTGTACGAGACATCCAAGCACCGGGCATCATTGTCGCAAGCCTTGATGCAGTCCTCGAAGCTGGCGACCTGGAGGGCGGCGATGTCGGCACCAGCGTAGTCCACGCCGCACACAATCTCGAAGTTGCCGTTGGCACCGTTGGAGGCACCGCCGGCGCAAGTAACCCCTGAAGCCTTGGATGTTTTGCGTGCAGAGTTCACCCATGCAAGAGCTGTGGCCGGCGTCTGCACGTCTTTCAGATAGCAATCCTGCAGGTCGTTGACGTAGGCTACGGCGATACAGGCTTCTTCGGCGTCGCAGGCCTTGACACAGGCCTCAAATGTCGGCGCGTCGATACCCTTATAGTTGCCGCCGCCATAATCAGATCCGCAGAGGACTTCAAAGGTGCCTTTCTCACCGGTGTAGGTCGACTTGTGAGTCGCGGGCTTGGTGCAGTCGAGGTTGGTGGAAAGGGCCTGTCGTCGAGTGGAGTGACCGAGGCGAGAGAAAGAGTAACTACAGTCACGAGCGTGACTCTCTTGAATAAGCTAAGCATGGTGACGGAAGGAGAGAATGAAGGACTGGCAAGGACCGACAGAGCACCGCCAAAACGGAGTACGAGCTTCCTCGTGACGATCGAGAACCAGAGACGGAGGGAAGGGACAGAACGTTAGACATGGGTGCCTGCTGGTCACCGAGTTATCTAGATAACTCTTCATGTGCTTACTGTGAAGTGGATTTCAGGGCTCCTCAGATTTCCGCAATCTTCAGCCCCCACGTTGCAGTCTGCGAATACTTACCGTCAGCTTGTAATGCAACCTTTCCAAATCGAATGCTAATTCAATTCATAATGAGCTTATTCTCACCTCACATCGGTATTATCGATACACTTTGGGTACTATTTTCTTGGCAGTAAGACCTTGTTTCGAGACTGTCTAGGTATTTTTCCTGTGGCTCTATTCTAGTCTATTGTCGTTATCTTTGCTTCTATCGTCGTAGTCGCTTCCCATATCTTCGTCGTTGTCTTTATTATCATTGTTATCGTCGTCGTCGTCGTCGTCGTCGTCGTCGTCGTCGTCGTCGCTGTCGCTATCGTTCCCATCGTCTTCAAGGAGTCATTCAGTACACAAGAAACGTAGCGCGTAGACCTAGGAACATTAGGCGGTGACTTTCTCATAGGTCATTTAGGTAGCCTCAAGTCTAATTAAATTTAAAGGCTAAAGAGGTACATTAGATGCTTATCTGTGAGAAGCTCATTGAATCGCGGGGCTAAAACGGCCGCCATCATTACCGCGGAGGACTAGCGAGCACCATCACCTATTAGAGTCAATCTAGACCTCCGCTAATAGTCTACACATACTGGCGACTTGATTCGAGACACCGAACATTCCGTACCACTCGATACATGGGTCATAATGGTAAAATATTCCATCCGATGTTAATGGGCCCAAAAAGCAAAAGAAATCATCAACTCATGGGTGGGATTTAACCACTGTATCTCCCCGAGGTGGGCTCGAACCACCAACCTCCAGATTAACAGTCTGACGCGCTAGCCAATTGTGCCATCGGGGATGTTGAGATGTTTTGTCTGATTTGACTTGGCGGATTGAGGGAATTTTGGGAATATGGAGCTCACGATGTGGACCTAGTGATGCTGGGTGGATGCAAACGCGGCAGATGGACCCAGTTGGACAATCTCAGCCCCATTTCCATATACTTATCAGTATTTCTTTTCTCAGATACGAGAGAAGACATAACGTATATTGTATCCACCTTGACTACCTATTCTCTTTCATCTTGAAGAGTTTCTCACTTGCACACGCATCAGGCGTGATAGAGAGAGTTGTTGTTTGAGGCTATTCCGGGTTGTGGGCGAGTTCCTTCAAAAAGTGGGGCATTCATCCGGGTTGTGTGAAAGTTTACATAAAACTTTTCTCTTATTCACCAGTCATTTGACAGCCCGAAATGATTAAAGCTTTTGAACATTGAGTACCTATGCATCGGGACTGGGATTGGAAATTCAAATTGAGTCACAAAATACCCGAACTGAGCAATAAGCCAACGCATTCATTACTTGATCTTTTGCACTGCACTCGAGACGACAGAAAACATCCATTGCAACCGCGACTACCTAGCCCAGACTAACATAAGAATCACACTTTCCATAGGAAAAGTAAGCTTGCGCTCTCTGTCGCCTGAACTCGCCCCTCAACAATCACAGGTCAAACTTCTGTTCTACCAAATCCTCGCTCATGGCCCAAAGCTTCTTCGCATTCTCGCCATCAAGTGCGTACTCTCGAGGCGTTCCGACCTGGCAGTTCTGGATATATGAGCCGCTGTGAGCTGCAAGCTCGGGATCCAGCGCAGCCGCCAATATAGACGAGCACCCTTGAGTCGCGGTCTTGAATGGCATGTCAATAGCGAAAGGCAGTCCGGTGTTCTTTCGAGAGACCTCGTCGCCCTTGTCAAGCTCTGTCATGGAAACATGGTTGAAGAGACCAGTGCCTCCAATGCTTCCGGGGTGGACTGACCTCGTGTTAGGCGGTCCTTGCTTTCTCGTAGTGAGAAATTGGATAGGTTTTACTCACCAGACAGGGATACAATTCCGCGATCTTTCAATCTGCGAGCCAACTCAACACTGAACAAGATGTTTGCGGTCTTGGATTGTCCGTAACCACTCCATCCATGGTAGTTTTTGCCCTTGTTGAAGGTCGGGTCGCTCCACCACACGTCGGAGAGCTGATGTCCGTGGCTCGAGACGTTGATAATGCGAGCATCCTCACCAGCGGCAAGAATCTTGGGCATCAGCAAGTTCGTGAGCAGGAAGTGTCCGATATGGTTGGCACTGAATTGCAACTCGTTCCCCTCGCCATCGGTCGTGAACTCCTTGACGTACATAATACCGGCGCAATTGATCATAACGTCAATCTGGGAGATATCGGAGTCTTCGAGGATTTTGGCAGCTGCGGCTCGAACGCTGTCCTGGTCGGTAAGCTCGACAGCAATGAAGGTGGCACGGATAGACGGATCAATGGCGGCGATCTCCTTGATGACAGGCGCTACCTTGGTTTCGGAGCGACCAGAAAGGATGAATGCCGCGGGCGACGCCTTAGCAATAGAAGTGGCCATATAGGCACCCAACCCGTTGGCGCTAGCACCAGTGATGAGAAATGTGCGGCCTTTGACATTGGAAGCGAAGGTTGAGACAACTTCTTCCGCGGTAGTGTCGAAGCCGAAGGAGGCCATTCTGAGAGGTGTTTCGGATCTCTGTTGAGATTGATGCCTTGTAAAAATGGATTGGAACGACAATAGGGTTTTGAACCGGGAAAAACGTTGGTTTCTGGGAGAGATACTGGGTATGATGTGATGAGAGTGCTAGATATCTTCATGTTGGTTTGCGGACTGGAAAGTCCCCTTCTTTTATAGACATTTCGTCGCATTTTCAACAGTGTTACTTTATCCCAAGATGCCGAGCTCAAATGTTTCAAGTAGCAAGTGCTGCGTATAACAATCCGTTTTTGAACAAGCTCAACTTTGAGGCACGCAGATGAGCCTCTTCTGGGCTGCAGAAGCGAAGTTGTGCCAGCGATGTACCGTGGAGAACACGACATACCCTAATTTGTTCATGGGCATCAAGGTAATTGTCCTAAACCCGAGTGTTGACCAAGCTCCGCGATACGGCAGGCAACAGCATTTGCAGAAAGCCTTCTCTCAAGACTAATACAATTCTTATCAGTAAAGTATTATGGGGAAATGGTTGAATGGCTATTCGCCGCCTCGTAGGAAACAGCCCACTAAGTCCGCTCTGGGGCAGGATGCATCATGCAACCCGCGTCAAACACGCTCTCTCGGGCTTAGTGCTGATGGTGCATGGTGGGACGATGCAAGTATTGATAATACATCCCACATGTCTCATTGGGCCGTCATATTCCCTCGATTTAAGCGGGATAACCATGTGATTAATCATTGAGGTGGCACGAAAAACTCGGAAGAACGTCTTGTAGGTATTTGAGCGCCGAGACTCGTCTCCAAACTTAGGTTGGTAAGCATCGTCGCGCGTTGAACAGCGGGGAGATTGACTAACCCCTAAACTTAACAGCGTTGAACCCCTTCCGCGACTTCACTTGTGTTCTCAGAGTACTCAGCAAGTACATTGATACTGGTGTACTATCCTAAACGCTCTTCGCAAGCATTACGCGACGTGCTTATGCGACCTGAGTATGCAAGCGCCCAAGACGTCGTCACGACGAAGGCAGCACCACATACGCAGTCGGACTGGGTGCAGTGCCTGCAAAAAGAGACATGTCCGATGCGATGAGAAGCGACCGACATGGTAAGTCTCATTGGCACTTCTTTGACTTTCTCGCATTCCACCATACCGAATCCATGTAGCTATTATGATCTTACCTCTTTGGGCCACATAGACGCGTCGTACAGGAGGATCAGACGATCTTGCCAGAACAGCTTTTATGACCCTTGCCCCTTTAGATCAGATATACGCGGGGTGCATGAGAATCGGATGATCTTGGCCAGTATCGCTAGGCCTTTAAACCGCTTGTAAGGGTGGCGACGTGGAGGATCTTTGTCATAGCAAGCAAGAATGAGCGAAATTTCTCTGACCTTTCTGACAGCACAAAATGTCTCGTTTCTGGAACATCGTGCGTCTACCCCCCTCTCGAGCGATGGATCAGCGAGATCGGTGATGGTAGCATTTTGAACGGGTCTCGTCCCAACTTTACAGGGAGGGGTGGACGGAATGCCATCTGGCAGCTTCCCAAAGACCCCAGGACCGTGGACCCATTTGATAGCATGCCGCTATACATGTCGTCCAAGTCCCATGAGCTGTTCCGATACTGTGAGTCTACTTACCTCCTGTACCATGGAGGAGGTCTCCATACTTTGCAAGCCTGATCAAGCCTGACGTCCGCCTTCCGGTTAGTCCTGGACGTCAACTCCCCGAAGGATGGAGATACCCTCAGGCACAAACAGACGTAAGTCAAATTTTTTCCTTTCCCCTCGATTACTTCGACCTTTTTGGCTAATAAATACTAAGTTGCAGCGTCGGCAAGGTGGCCAACAATCCAGATTCTTTTCATGGTATTTTGTTACTAGCCGGTCTGCATTACTACTGGAACAACGGCAACCTTGGGGAATTTGCTTCGACATACTACATGCACAAGATCAATTGGATTCGTTCCATCAACTCATATCTTGGAGGGGCTGACCACAATGACCCCAGTAAGTTCAGGACTTACCTGAACATTGTGGGCACAATCGCCCTTATAGAGGTAAGGCTACAAAGCTCGTCCTCTGGTCAAGGTACTCTGAGGACCTTCACTGACAACTTCATTTCGTTTGGTGTATACAGATGAGCATGGGCGATCACGACGCAGCACGAGCCCACCTGATTGGCCTATCCATGCTCAAAGACAAGTTCCAATTCCTCCAACAGAAAAGCTTGACCGGTTCGAATATGGCCGATACGCCGTCTACATTTGCAATTTCCACAGATGACACTGTTCAACTCTATCTGGCCCTTGTCACATGCGACGTGATTATGGGGACTTCGAGTTCGCTCCAGCCTCCTTTTCCACAAGAAGTGACTAAGCGACGACAGCCCAAAGCTCCTACAGGAGAGGAGCATAAATTGCCCGACGGTCGACTACCCCTGTGGCTCGTCACTTATTTTCTCATGGCAAGCTATGATATATCCGGCGAAAACTTTGATCTGACTGATCTGTTGGATTATCTGCGCTTGGTTACCACCGCACATGGTGGTTGCTATACCTCGCCGTCCTTGCCTGTTATGCCCACCCCTGAAAGCCAGACGGACACCCAGACACCCCAAACTCCCTCGCCTTTTCACACCAAAATCCCTTGGGGTAGCACTGTCGCTGCCGGAGGTGCCTACATACACTGCATAATCGGTCTACCATGGACATACGGACCCAGCACCGGGGGCGGTCCCTTATGCTACATGATCCCCGCTATCCAGCAGGATGTTGCTGCAAGCGAAACCGCTATGGCAGGGTCACGGATCAACATCAACGGCTGCACAGAGGGGACTCGGCTCGGCCAGGCCCTGTGGCTATGGAAGGTCGTGGTCGGCGCTTGCACCATTGCGAGCGCTCAAAAGGCGGGCCTCCCGGCTCCGGAACCTGGGGGTCCGGGCAGCGAGCCATATCACCAGGACGTTATTCCCAGAGCGTATCGTGACGACAGCCCGCTCTGTGACGATGACGACGAGCTGTATGCCATGCTAGCGGAATGGTGGGCCAGAAGGCTGAGGCGATGGAGTAGGGCCACAGGGGTTATTGAGTGGAACGCCGCGAGAAAAGTGTTGGCGCTGGTGGCATGGCCGGAAAAGGGTCCGGGTGAGAGGCTGGCTCAGAGGATATGGGAGCATGCAGTCAACAAGCGGGTGACATTTTAAGGAAGGTACTTGACTCCAGAGTATGTCTTGTCCGGCGAGACGAAAAGACGATGGCATATTTGGGGCAATTGATAGGATCCAATCTCATATACAGTATCGACTTGTCTACTTTGGCACTCTAAGAACCCCACCCAAGCTATAGATCACCCCCCACCTCAGATCAGCCTAAAAACGCGTCTTCTGCATGCTTCACATTATGTATTATCCTAGTTAATACTACTTTTTTAACGCTATAACGCACAAAATAAATTCTTTTAAAAATACTAATATATATTTTATACTTTTATATACCCCTACTAACGTTACTATAGTAATTACAACTATATATAATAGCTACTTTCTCTAAAAAGCTACTAAAAACTAAAGCGTACTATATATAACCCTATAATAATATATTAATAATAGTAAAACAATAGTAGAAGTAAAAGCTACCTAGTAACACTTTAGCTTTAAGTAAGAAGCCCTTTTAACTACTTAGATCTTTATATAAAGTACTTTAAACTATATACCTAGCTATAGGTATATTTATCTCTTTATAACGTAGATTATATATACTAGTAATAATATATATCCCCTTAGTATATATTAGATAGAAGCCTTTTTATATTACTACCTATCTATTAAAACTCTAAAAGTATATAAGATTAGTACTTAACGTATAAAGGATATTATAGTTAAAGATATAAAGAAGTTCTTTATAATATTTAATTTTCTAGAAGTTAAAATTATCTCTATAAGTTTATAATATAATATAGATAAGATAGGTATTATAGAGGGGGCTTAGCGTAATAATTTAGTATTAAGATATTCTAAGAAGTCTTTTATATTTATTTAGAGCTTTAATAACTATACTTAAATATCTATAGTTAAATATATTAGTATTAATAGTAGTTATCTCTTACCCCTAATTATCTTTAAGAGTAAAATAGTTTAGTATTAATAGTTCTTTAAGGATCTCTTAGAATTTAACTTATAGTACTTTATATTAACTATAAATAATTAGACGTCTAATAGTATTAGTATTAATTAGCTAGAGAATATATTTATACTAAAGATAGTAGTAGAAATAAAAAGACTATATTCTAAGTGTTTACTTATTATAGATAGCTATAGAAGCTATATTAATAATAACTTTATATAGAAATATTATACTAATAATATTTATTTAGTTTACTTATTTACTTATTTATTTTATATTATATAGCTCCTTAATATATTAGTATTTATACTTCTAAAGTAGTCCTATAAAACCTATTTTATAGAATAAAACTACTTACTTAACTTTATACTAATTAGTAAGTAGAACTTCTTATAATACTATTTATATATATATTAAAATACCTTATAACTATATATTATTAAATTAAGATAAAAAGTAATAAAGATATAGCTTATTAATATTATAAAGCCTTTTATAAACTAGTTTATTTATACTTCTACTCTAACTAATATTTTATAAGCATTAGTATAGTATTTAAGACCTATAAATAATAAATAAACCTTTTAAAGTATTATAATTAAAACACTAAAGAACTTAGCTAATTTATACTAAATATAATAGCTTTTTAGTAATAAGTTAAGGTTAATAGTATAAAGAGATTATCTTATTAATTTTATAGTATAGATCTTCTTCTTTAAGAAGTTAGGGAAAACTTTAAACCTTAATAATATAACTATAGTAGATAATTAGTAAGTTATCTAATCTCTAGAAGCTTAGCTAGAGAAATATAAGTTTATTAAATATAGTAAAGTTAAGCTAAAACTAAATATATACTTTATAGTAATTAAAAATATTTAGAAGAAAAAATAGGAAGTATAGAACTATCTTATTAAATTAGAAATAATATTAATTAATAGTAAATCTTCTAATAATAAAGAGAGTATAAAATTATATATTATTATTATAAAACTATAGAGAAATTATATAGAATATAAAAATATAATTATAGCGTTAGTAGGTTAAAAGTATGTAAAAGTAGTGATCTGAGGTGGGGGGTAATCTATAGCTTAGGTGGGGTTCTTAGAATATCGTCAAAACGATCTTTATAAGGTTTTAATAGCAAGTTCATCCTGAGTTTGTTTTTCTTCCATATGTTTTGACTAGGTAATGTTATATGTCAGTCGTTTGTTGAGTTAACTGACAAAGTGTCTTGAGCATGGCGGTAGAGCAATACCTATGATGACTTGCAAGAAAATAATTCAGTTGGCAGTATGTAAGTAACTCCGCACTCGAAGGCTCCAATATTCAAACGTTCTTGAGCATGATCAGTTGCGCATCAGCATCGATCCGATCGAAGAACAGCTACACAAACACAGTATACCGAAATACTTTTACAGTAACAGCAAATGTCGAAGTTGGAGGCCACTGTCTCATTCAACTGCTAGGATGACTTCATGTGTGTTGTCTGACAGGTTGGGATGATGTGCATATTCGTATCTTGTGAAACCGGGCTGGCAATCTGCAAGGCCCTAGTTTCCCACAACGTTGCGGAGTCAAAAGCCCCGCAAGATAACTTGGGCTGGGTCGAGTCATGGCCCATGTCACCGGACCGAGCCTGGGTCACTCCCCGGGTAATGTCTCTGATGTCTCCAGGGGTTGTCCTTGCGATCCGATTTCTAGCTCGATGGCGATCTGGCCAATCATTCGTACCCTGTCTCTGCTGATCGCGACCTATGGTTCAGCAGTCATCACGGAATTCATGGCAGCGAGGCTTGACGGTGAGAGTTTTGTGTATTGGATGGCTATTATACGATTGCAAGCAGTCCAGTACCGGAGTGGCAACCGACGTACTCGAAGTGCTGCTGCTCCGGCTTCAACACCAACACTTCGTGGAACAGACGAAGCGAAACATTGTTCTCCAACTTCTTGGCATATTGCAAGAAGCCTCCGAAGATCTTCAGATGTGTCGGGTGTTCCTTCGCCCAACCCTCGAGGGATGCAAGGTCGTCGAAGAAGGCCAATCCGAAAGTGCGGTCCTTATCAGCTTTGCCCGTCGCGGGGTCGACGAGATCCATAAATCTGCAGCTGTGGCAGCCGACCTCAGCGCCTTGGTCGCGAAGGAAGTTCATACCCTCGATGAGCACGGGGTGCATCGTTGACAGGTACAGCTCCCGCTCTTCGGGCAGTGTTCCAGACCAATCCTGGCCGGATCGGATGACGGCGAGGTTCTTCTTGCCGGAAACCTGGACCCTTCGAGGCTTGGGGACTCCGTTGCCGTTTGTCGTTCCGTTCGTGGCACGCTCGACCTTTTCTCCAACAAGCTCGTCGTTCTGAGCTGCTGCCATTCTGTCGCGCATGCTGCCCCAGTATACGTGCTCCTTGATAGGGCCGATCACACGTTCGCGCATGTGTGCCGCTCCCTCAGGAATCTCGTTGTTGGAGAAGACCGTCTCGAAACGGTCCATCGTGGGGAGGAACATCTCGAGGAACCAGCCGTGGCGTTCAGCTTGGGGATCAAGCTCGTCCCACCATGTCTTGAAGCCGGAGTCGACGGACCACTTCTCGTATGCCGCCTTGCTGGGCCAGTAAGCCAGGTGTGCAATGTTGTAGTATCCGTGGGTATCGGTGACGGCAGCCCACTCCGCGAACTGTGGACGAGACTCGGGCTCGACGGCTTTGGAGGTGGTGAACTGCGTCAACCGTGCGACGGCATCGCCATCTGCCTTGTCTTCGGAAGCATACTGGGCGCCAATGACAGCAAAGACGAGGTCTTTGGTGGCTTTGGGAAAGCCAGCGCTGTAGGCTGGGAAGGGAGGTTGCCAGTCCGTAGGTGTCTTGGCGGGGATCTTTCGGGGGCACTGAAGGTGCTCTGCGATGGCGGAGACGAGCATCTTGTAATACGTGATATGGGATTGGTGGCGGGGAATGATGAATCTTGCCGGGTCAGAAAGGAGCTCGGGGGCCTAAGCTTTTAAGCTACATGGAGGTACAAGGACCAAGGCGACAACTCAAGACCAGGTCCCTCGTCAAGAGTTGGCTAATATTCCTCGGTCGAACAGGATGGCAGAATCCACGCGCGTGCCGCCATCTCTGCAGCTCTGCAGTTGCAGGGATCTTAGACAAAGGCCATGGACAAACATGGACCGACAAACATGGAGGCAAGCATCGCACGTTTGGGCAGGGGACTTACCAATGTTGGACATATCCTTGCCCGTTGGATCGGGACCTTACTTCCTACTTTGGAGTAGTCTCGAACAGTGGCTGAATCCTGTGATGAAATACTCGGAATATCCGTCCAGTTTCCGTCTCCTTTTGTGACCGTAATGAGTGTCTTATCTCGAGCAAACGGCTTTCCAAGAGGCCGTTGGGCGCTATTCTTTAGCGTACGCGTGGATGATAAGACATACCGGACTCTGGGGTTGGGTTCCGCGGGCACTGACGGTAGGCTAGAAAAGTGGCTTGCGGGATGACAGGTCCGCACCGGTAAGCCATAACAACAGACTGGGAGATGCTTCAGCCCTCACCAGATGACAGACGCATAAAACCACACAGACTGCGCGTCATGTCTTGGGCAGCACCCGAAAAGGGACCTCGCAGGGATGAGGGACCGGTGCGCAGCCGACTAATGTTCCACCAGAGACACAAAACCCCACCACCCAAGTGGGCAGCAGGACGCCTTTCCCAGTCTCTGCAGCCTCGGGTCTTGGGACAAACTCGCTGATCTATATTGCAGACCTGACACTAGTACCGCGGAAAGGCTCCTTCGCGATTCAGGCACCATATGGCCATTGGCCTCCCCCTTTCAAAGCGGGTTGTCGGAATGCAACTCAAGGCGTCAAATGGCACCACACGTAGTCAATCTGCACCCCTGGTTGAAGAACATTTCTGATTTCGGCCGTCTGGGCGGACAAGGCTGCCAGGTCCGTGACTCGATTTGGGGTTGAGGAGAATTTTGTATAATTCATGCTTGGGCCCCGACAAGCTTTGCAGTGAAAGAAAAAGGGAGGCCGGCCACATAAGAGCGAAGAGGGGGCAAACTTGCGGACGAGAAACCACCGCAACTGCATACCCTATCCTCACCCCACCACCACCATTCCACCATGGCGACACCGTTCCAGGTCGAGGCTTGGACCGAGTATGCCATCGGCTTGCTCGTGCTCCTCGTTCGCATTGTCTACAGGTCAACTATTGTCGGGACCAATTGGGAGGGCGATGACTACTTTGCACTGATTGCAGTGTTCTTCTGGACGGTATGCGGAAGGTCCCTGACCGCATCGGGCTTTGAAGAGAGGTTGAAACTGACTTTTGGGTTCAGGGAGAACTGGTGATGCTAGAGTTGATCGGTGAGAACACTCTCGCTTCCCCTTGACAGTTGATGTCTAGTCTGAACTCTAACGATCGTTTTGTCCAGGACAATATGGCAGCATCACTGGAATGACCGATGAGATCGCCTTGACGCTCTCCGATAAGCAAATCGAAAGAATAGTCGTTGGCTCCAAATGCCTGCTGGCAGGATGGATTCTATACGTTACCCTCATCTGGTGCTTGAAGGCGTGCATGCTCTTCTTGTACCGCAGACTCACGTAGGTTCCCATTGGGTATTGCAACTTTGCGATGGACTCTTTCATTATTAACACGGTTGATACAGGCTAAACTTGACGCAAAGACGGATGGTTTACATCACTGCTTGCACCTGCGCCGTTCTCTATATAGTCACCATCATCGTGATCTTGACGAGATGCCAGCCGTTCCACGCGAATTGGCAGGTGTATCCCTACCCAGGTGGTGCGTTTTGACCCCTTTCTCGTTGCTTGACATGTCTGATTTGTGTTTTTGCTCTAGACGCTTGCGCACTGAACATTCCGAACTACATTGCTCTTGCAATCACGAACGTCACGTAAGTCCACCAAGAGAAGTAATTTACGACCGAGCAAAACTAACAAACCATCTTAGAACGGACATGATGATTTTGTACATTCCATTGCCACTATTGTGGTCTGTTCAAATGCCAATGGCGCGGTAGGTTTCTTTCGCTGCAAAATCCTCCGTCAAATGCAGTTCACTGACCAAACTAGCAAAATCATCTGCTCCCTCTGGCTCTGCACTGGTGTCTTCATCATCATTGCCACGCTGCTTCGCTGCATTCTTTGCCTGCAGGATGCACAGTCCATCAACCTGGGCACCATCTGGTCAATCAGAGAAACAGTAAGTGTGGCCCACGCACCTCACGCAATCTCCCCCAGCCCCCCTTTCCCGCACCCCGGCAAACTCTGTATGCGCGTCGAACTAACCCGTTTTCCCACCCTGGCAGTTCGTCGGCATCCTAGCTGTCAACGCCCCAGTCTTGGGTCCCTGGATCGCCAAAAACGCCTCAGCGGTGCGTTCCCGCACCTCCAAGAACCGCTCGAAGACGGGCGGCCAGGAGTCCGCCAACCACATCGTCACGATTGGCGCGAAGGAGAGCACCCACCGCCTGGACCGCCTTACAAAAGACGGCCGCCGGGGTCTGGGGTGGACCGAAATTGACAACGACAGCGAGGAGCGTATCATGAAGACGCAGAACGATGTCGCTGTCTCGGCGAAGCGTTCGGACGAGGAGCTCAACCGTGAGGTCAGTCCCAACGGTATCCATGTCAAAACAACCTTCCAAGTTTCTGGATGAGACGACCGGAGAGGACACGGAGGAAAAGAATACCTCAACGCGTTGTAACACGATGTAAACTGTGTAATGTAAAATAGATGATTGGATACGCATGGAAGTTAGTTAGTTAGCTCAACGGGTCTGCTGTCACCGTCGTGGCAGAGTGAGCTAAAATCACGCCAGCTATGCTGTTGGCTCATAATACTAGTTCATATATGACATCGCAACGGTGCATTAGTTCGGTTTGGGGATGATGAGTGTATCTCGTTTGGATATTGATGTTCCGCGTTGCCTCGAAACCTGGAGTTGCAATCATGTAATTACCGCATAACAAAAAGCCTTCCGCGAGTCAAGATATTCACGTGTAGGATATCTGAACCAGCAGATGCCAGAAATCCATGGACCTTTCCGTACCACGCGGAGGATTCCATACCATCGCAATTGGGGCCGATGGAGATGATACCGGACATGGAAGTGAAACCATGCCGGTCATCACTCGATGCTACAAGAGAGAAGAGACAAGATAGGAAAGCGAGAACTGAGAACCACACCGAAAGAGAATGCGATGGAGCGACGACGTGGTCGGCAGATACGCTATATCCACCGGTGGGACTGCGGAGGGGTCCACTCCGCAGGTCCGCAACACTTCTCATTGGCCGAGACTCAACAACACCTCGTCCTTGTACGATCACATCACAGGCTTCACTTGGTTCTTGCGCTTCACGTTGGGCATCAGGGTACTGTTCACGAGTAATTCCCCTTGTCGATATCGAATTTTCAGTGTTCAGCTCTCCGATGGTTGAAGGCGCGTTTTGCAGTTTTCGGAAATCTATTGAATCGCACCTAGTTCGATAAGCGGGCCGGAATCCTGCTTTTGCTCCCTTTTGGAAGGATTTGAGACATGGCTGGAGTCTTCACTGTGAAGTGACATAGTGTATTAAAGTGTACTTTTTGGAAACTCTACCAGCACGCAGGCTACCCTTATAACCCCCCCCCCCCCCCCCCCTTTTCCCTTCTCCCTTCGCTTCTCGCTCCCTAGTTAGCTTTAATAGTTAAAGAAGATTATAGTAATCGCTATAATTACTTTATTCTTATATTCTTTATATTTATTTAGCTTATTAAACTTATTCTAAACCTCTTTTATTTTCTTATTATATCTAAACTTCTTATAAAGTTTCTTCTAGTTCTTTTTATAAATATTAATATTTTTAATATTATTAGATTTAGAGAGGAAGTATATAGTAATTTAATAAATAAATATTTAGTAGTAGTATTTATTTTTAAACTTATCTAAAGATCTAATATTAAAACTTATATTATTAATTATAATTTAAAAGTATTATTTATACTTTTTTATAAAAGTAATAAAGTTAACTTTCTATTTTATTTTCTAATTTATTAATTTAGTAATAAATATTCTAATAAGTTTAATTATAATAAGTTAATTTTATTAGGGATAGTTAATAAGTAGAAGAAAACCTATATTCTTCCTCCTATATAATCTTATATAGTAAGTTATTTATAAATTATTAAAGTAATTAATAATATTCTTACGAACTTAGATTAAAGCTTTCTTAGTTATTATAAATAGTATTACGATATATAGTAAGTATCTATTAAAGTATAAACAGAATTTTCATAGTATAGCGTAAACCTCCACAAATTGGATGTAGCTGGGCTCAAAGGGTAGAAGATATGGCTGGAGTCAGTACCATCCGTTGGGACATCTTGGTTCTCCTACATATGTGTGCTGATGCCCTCTTACCAAGCACTCAGGGGCCTTTGGCGCTCTATCCGCGATTTGGCCAAGCGCGAGGCTCTAGCAACTCGGGCATCCACGTCCTCGGATTCAGGGACCAAGAACACTCTTCGGAAACGTCGATCTTTGTCGGCGCTATGCGTTCGGACTTGCTCCAGTGGAATTCGGCCGTTCTTTGAGAGACTATCTATGGAGCTTTTGCATATGCAGTTACCAACGGGACCTCCTGTGGCTAGGCCTCAACGCGTTGAGAATGGGGAGTTAGGAGACACAGCGGTGATCAGCAATGAGCGGTCAGAGAGTCGAAATGTTGGACAACAGAAAGAAAAGCCTCGATACCAAAATCTGACGAATCATCACGCCCAAAGTGCGCACCGGCCGCTTTCGACAATGCCCAACAACCCATGGACACACATCGAAGACGCCCGATCACGGTTGAGTGGCCGTTGACTACGTGCGCACTCGTGAAGCCGATAGAGAAATGGAGTTCA